GGGGTAATTCTTAATCAGGAGATGGAGAAATTGGCTTTGTGATTTAAGAAGAGAATCCTACTACTATTTTTTCCTTAATGGGTGTCAGTGATGTCCCCCCAAATAATGACACGTGGGTCATATTGATTGGACCACATTACAGTCAGAGGTTTTTGTTTTTGACTTCTTCCTTTTTACTATTTCCTCTGTTTTGACGACTTCTTATTTTTACAACGATTAAATATAACCTTTTACAATCAAAAATTGTTTAAACTTAAACTCCGTTAGTTTAAGCCTTTACCGTTATACTTTAATTTAAATTTACACTTAATTTTAACGGGAGGTAACGTGGCGGCTCAGGAACAAAAAATCCAAACCCCAATTTTAAATTACCCGATTAAATTATAACCCATGCCTATTTTTATACCCGACCCAATTCCCCCACTTACTATAAAAGAAAAACCGATAGCTTCACAATACGAGTTTTTCGTTGAAAGCTTTTAAAAAAGATTCGATATTTTTGACACTCTTTCAATTGGGATTTCTTTGTTTTAGAGACAGTTAATATTTTTTAAGAATCTTTTGATTGGGTTTCTTTCTTTGAACAATAAAAGTTGATATTTTCAGCAATCTCTCAATTGGAATTTCGTTGTTGTTGGCGTATGAAGGCAGGGTTGAGCACAATTCATCTGACACTATAACATCTGAGGATGCAAATGTATTGAACCATTCGATAGTAGAAGCAAGTTCGCCGGAATCATGGAGAAACGATGCTGTTGAATTTGGTAGCGATGTTGTTAGCTTCTGCTTCAGGATTTCTCCGGCAAGCTTGTATGCGTTCACACACCAATTCTTCTCATTGTAACCATCATAGTAATGTTAATTTGACAAAACTTACCGGAATTAGTCCTCGGGTTTGTGCTAGTCCGACACAAATGCCGATTTCATTATTATGTATTTTGAATCCACAGTTGCTACAGAAGGGTGGTACTGGGCAATTGGGGAATATAAGGAATGAGGAAGTGAAGAAGATTAGGAAGGGGAGCTTTGAAAGACGAAGAAGATGGACCAGAACTTTACAATAATTTAAGGAGAAAAGGAGGTTGTGATGGCGGAAGAGGAGTTGTGGCAGCATCTGGTACAAATCCTTAATTGGGTAATGGGTAAAAATTAGGCTGAAGGAGTGGGTCGAGTAACGGGTGAAATTAGGATGGGTTGTAATTGAATTGGGTACTTTAAAATTGGGGTTTGGACTTTTTGTTCCTGAGCCGCCACGTGTCCTTTCGTTAAAATTAAGGGTAAATTTAAACTAAAGTATAATGGTAGGGGCTCAAACGCCTTGATAGTATAATGGAGGCTAAGTTTAAACAATTATTGATAGTAAAGGGATATATTTGGTCCTTTTCCGTTTTTACAATACTACTTAATGGTGTTTAATAACCTACCACAGTTGTGGTAGAGCGATAAATACTCTTTCATTCTTAATTAGACCTCTTGGGTTTGAGCTCTGAGTATGGAGTCTCTTTTGTCAAGGAGCGCTGATCATGCCCAACTATGCTTTATAAAAAGGACTAAACGGTCGTTGCAAATATATTCTGGTTAACAAGTCCGGAGTCGAACCAAGGTTTCGTTATTCCTAATTCCACATTTAAACCCTCTGTATCGATCCCTCATATACGTTAGGAGTGTTGTTGTTCAACAACTACCTAAATATGCACTCTCTTCCGAGTAATACACACTAAATAGACACACTCGATTGAGAGCTCTTCAACCAACCACAATATAAACGTAGTTGAACAAATAGAGAAAAAGTTATGGCAAATCTATATTAATGTAACAGGAAAATCATCCTCCAATAGGTTACATCAAAACCCTAGATTAAAAATTTAACTACTCATACTCATAGTAACAATATCCCAAGTATTTTGCATAAATAAATTACAAAGTAAAGATGAAGGAATGTAGAAATCGATGATTCTATCCCCCAACGGGTGTTCCACGAGCTATTCTTGCCTCCGGTCGCAAAACTCCTTCAAAAGTGGTGTTTAATGTCTATTTATATGTGTAGGAAAAGACCTAAACGACATAGCCCAAGTCCTAGTCAAACAAGGAGACGAAATAAGCCTTCAAAATCCGGATCAGGCTCGCCTCAGACCGTGCCTCGCGAGGTAAAATGCGAGATGCATCTCGCCCCAGACCGTGCGGCGCCAGGCATTCAGCGCGCTCATCCTCGCCTTACCCCTTGCGTCGCCTGCTCCCACGCGAGCTCAGAGGCTCACCT